GCAATGATGACGATGTGATGCGGGATGCCGGCGACACACCAGACTGGACCGCCAGATCAAGAGGTTGTGCCGCTACATTTGTTATCATAATGTTTCCTCTCGCTAATGACTAGCAGCCTTGGAGTTCTTATCCCTCACATTGCATTACCTGAAACCGGAGGCCCTCAAGCCCAGCCAGGGTAAGTTCCCATAGCCGCTGGTCGATGCACTGCCCGATATCTTACAGTGTGCAGTCAATCTCCTGGTCGCATTTTTCGGAGCCATGTTTGATGTCGATCATAAGGCTGGTATTCTACCGTCGGCGACTGCACTTTCGCGAATTATTGCCATGAAGTCATTTCACCCAAACAGTGGCAGGGACATTATTCTAAAGGTGTGCACTCTTAAAGAGGACTTCCCTCGACAGATATCGAAAACTCGCCTTGCCGTCTACGAGCTGCTGAGGTCGCTAGTCAGCAATCCAGAGGTCGCTAAGGACCTTCAGCAGCGGGACGGTAAGGATACCGCATTTATGAAGGATCTTCTTCATCTTTGTCAAACTGAGAGGGATCCTGATTGCTTAATGGTTTGGTTTGATATACTTCGACTATTTCTTTCAGAGTATTCGCCATCCAAGGAAATATTAGAGGAGATTTATGGAACATTCAAGGCGTACTTCCCCATCACCCTACCTCGCACTGCGCAGAGTGGCGTGACGCCTGAGGAACTGAAGTTGCAGCTGCGCAAATGCTTCTCATCAACTCATCGTCTTGCTTCGCTCTCTCTACCTTTTCTGATTGGTAAATTAGACCAAGGAGATGGTGTTACAGTCAATGTGAAGGTAAGTTGAAGCTGACCCGGCCCGGTACTGTTTAGCTTACAAGTGTTACAGGTTGATGTTTTGCGGACAATAAGGGCTTGCCTGGAAGAGTACAAAGACCCAACGGAATCAATCACACCATATACCAACAGAATATGGACCAGTTTGAAGTATGAAGTCAGAAACGGAGAAATCGAAGACACGATTTGGGCAACGCTGGAAGTACTGAAGGCTCTTACGACAAGACTGGCCGGTGATGACCTGCGCGACTACACACTGACCGTTACAAGAGACTGTGTAGTTGATTTAGCAACGCCAATGTATACTACCGCCGCTGGTCGATTGCTTGTTAGTGTGCTCAGCGCCAACCCAAGCGCCTTTGTTCTCATGGTTGCGCCGGCAGTTACGCACATCAAGGAGAATCTTCGTCACCCGAAATCACCAACACATAGCCAGGATCTTCTAAAAATTTTGCGCATCATTCTGGAAACCCGTTTACTACTCACAGATGTGGAAATGTCAGAACATGATAGAAATGACTTCGCGGCGGTGGATGGAGTTTTCAAGACTCTATATGCTGATGTCTACAAAGGGCCTTTGGAGCTGCTCGCAAAGCCCGGCGCATCTGATGAGGACTTCAAACTGTCTACAGAGGCAGCGCAAGGTGTTGGTGCTCTCATTGGGCAGAGGGAAGTCAAGTCCTTAGCTTCCGATGCAGGGCACAAGACTTCAGACTTGGCGTTGCTACTACCCATATCAACATGTGCTGAAAGCTGCGAGACTCTGTTTAACATTTCCACACAGCAATGGGACGAAAGGGCTAGGAGAATCGGCGCCGATGAGCTGGTCAATGAATCCGTAAAGGCTCTACAGAGGATAATCCAGGCATATCCTGGGGGCTTCCCGTCGATAGTTGCTAAGACCTCGTCTATCCTTCGACAATCGATTGCCAACCTTACGCATGATTCGTTAGACACAATCCAGTCACTGGGCCCGCTTCTGGCGTATATTGGATGCTCATCTCTGTCAGCAAGCTTAGAATTGTCACTTGGACAGTTTGTCCAAGTCGTGAGGACTATTGAATTGGAGTTGTCGGCGGCTATTGACCAGGCAACTAGCCCAATAATATGGTGTTTTTTGGTTGCCGGAATCCACTCAACTGTGAGATATTTCAATGAGGCCTGCTTAGAAAAGGATGCAAAGGCCAGTGCAGTGGAGGAGGGGACTCTATCTTTGGACCAAATTGTCGTTAAGTATCCCCAACTTTCCTCAACGAGCGCCTTTAGCGAGCCTGCCGTACCAACAGTTCAGTCAACCTTGACCTCTGTTAATGAAGCTCGTACCGACGCTTTATTGATTGGTCTTCATATAGTGGGCTCACTATATCGTCGGGCAACGCAGCCGACCGAAACTGGGGGTCAACTTGCGAAAAGCAGCGACTTCAATGGCTCAGAACCACACCAGGAACTCCGATATCTTTCTCTGCTATCTGAATTGGCTGGTTTCATTGTCCATGAACTTAATGAGTCTCAGCAGGCTTCCCTCGAGGCGGAGAAATATGCACTGAATCTCTTCCGCGGAGAAGAGGTCAATGTATCAGCGCCATCATCTTGGACTTGGTTGACCTCTGGATATTTGGGCATTCTGTCTCTCGGAATACTGGAGTCTGTGCGGCCTTCTAGAATAGCCAAATTTGTAAGTACGCCCTCGTTGAGTAGACCTCAATGAAACTAACATGACAAACAGTACGAAACTGGCGTGGCACAACAAATCTTAACTGAAGGGACAGCTACTGGTAGCTCTGTCGGTGAAGTCGCATTGCGACCTGTGAGGAGATCCATCCTTGCGATATTGGCTAATAAACACAATATTGAGACGCTCGACTCCGTCATGGCGAATGTGGCAACCAGCTTGCAAGATGCTTTGCAAAAGACTAGAGCAGACAGTGCCAACGGGTCGCTGGCAACAAATCTGGAAACTTGCTTTTCCATATTCTCTTTGATAGGAGGACTCTTCAGACGATACAGTGGCAACAAAATTCAACCTCTGATTCAGCTATTACGCACAGCCCCGAACGATGTCCAGTCCGGCTATCAGCTCGGACGAGGATTGGAAATCATCGTTGTCCCTCAGAGATTTCTAACAAAAGAAAACTTCGCTGTTGTTCGACTCCTCTGGCTCCAGAAGATCTACATTGAGCTCATCAAACCCATGCTAGAAGTCGCCTTAGGCAAAGATTCTAGCATTACCGATCCCGTCATCAGGACCAACTTCAGCATATCCGTGCTACTCATGGTCAAACACTTGGACTTTTCAATCTACGAGCAAGACGCAGACAAGATTCTACGAATCGCTATCGCTATCGCACAGAATCTCGGCATCGGACCCGACGGCATGGCTGCCTTGCAAGTTATTAAGGATATCCTTGTAGAAGCTTCCGAACAAGCGGAGGACCACATCCGCAGCCTTATCAAGATTTGTGCCAGTATTTTCGCAAACAGACAGCAATCAGCCGATCGACCGGATTGGTTGCCCGCTGAATACGGAGACGCAACTCCTAGTTTAGAAGTACAGGCTGGCTGTGGCAAGATAGCATTGGAGATTGTAGGTGGACTGCCGCGAATGTTTGAGTCTCGCCATTTGCTGGCGTATGAGCCACAGGTCCAGCGAGATTTATCAACTGCGTGTGGTCATAGGGTGCGTGAATTGAGGAGTACGGCACGGTTGGCGCGGGGTGCGTGGGCAAATGTGAAATAGATTCCAGCATATGGGGGTGTTTGGAGGATTTTGGATAGCGATTCCACGAGGTAAATGTGATACTTTATAGATTCATCGAATAGTTCACACGACGGCTTACTACTATCAGAGTTACTCATAACGAGTTATTCTCAAAGAGAATTAACTGCTTTTATACATCCAGGATAGTGCTAGCACCTGGTATCTTGATTCTTTTGCAAGATCAACGCCATGCCAACTCCTCCCCTCATCCCATGTCACAGCTCAGACTTCACCGGGCATCCTAAATCAAGCCTTTCTCCGCTTACCCTTCGACTCAGTCGCATTCGCACCCGTGGCACTACCAGTAGCCCCAGTCCCCGCCAACATGGCATCCAAAACCTCGGCATTAGCACCATACACGTCCTGTGAAGCAGACATGATCTTCTTGGGGTCCTGCTTGCCAATCGCCGGGACGGAAGTAGCCAGGAATTCCTGGAAGGGCTTAGGGACGAAGCGACCAGTCTCGTCGAACCATGACGCGAAGGACTTTGAAATTTCGAGCGTCTTTGGCTCGCCGGTTTTTTGTTCGGAGATGACAGTTACGTAGTACGTCGGGTCGTTTTTCTTTGTGTTTGTGCGGATTGTAATCTACGCTTGTTAGTAGATATCCACCGAAGAAATGAAGGCAACGTCTGGGACAACTAACCCGCTCCCCTGAAGGTGCCGTTCCTTGGTACACGGTGCCCTTCTCCACAGTCGACGTCCAAAACGTAAGGAAGCCATTCAGCAGGGTGTATATGGCAACAGCCGCAGCAGTGTAGTACTTTGTGTTTTCAAAGCCGAATTTGTAGTCCCATCCGAAACAGGCGGCTGCGATGGCGAATGCGCCGTAGCCCAGGGCCAGCCGGACGTCGGTTAGGAAGTGGGATTGTTTGAATTTGAGGGAGTTGAGGTAGTTAGGGAGAGCGTCATCGGATGTATTTTTGAGGTCTGACATGCGTTAGCTTTCGCGAATTACCTGGGGATGTCATGCTGCCATTGATGGTGGGATTTACCTGCAAGATTGTACAGACTGATTTTTTCTGTAGCCATAATTGAGGTTGAATCGGCGAACTGCTCGCGGTGCAGGATAGGGAATTCGAATCGTTGAACAAAAATACGGTACGGCGAGGTGTCCTCCAGATGACAACTGGTCCGATGTATCTAAGTCGACCGTGGGGCTGGAAGGGATCTGGAGAGCTGGCCTTAGCTGTAGCCTCAGCAAGCGGGTAGTGTGACCCCTATCGGGAAGGCGGTGGCGGCAGAAACCGAAGCTCCGCCAGGAAAGCTGATGCTGTTCTGTGCGTAATTGGCTCGAGGACCCAACTGCTTCCAACCGCTGACCACCTCCGTCTCCGTCGTTTAGGCAGTCGACGAGCGCTTAGGATCGCTCAATTTCTTCTCATTCTTTCTTCCGCGAGCTGTCGACTCGGATATATTGACGATGGCGCAACTACCAGTGCAGACCCTCCACCGGGATCCCCAGTTATTGTATGCTCTACACCTCCCGTCGCCAGTATCCAATGTCCCGATAGATATTAACAATGCCACAGCTACTGGATCCTGATCCCCATCACCGTTGTCATGGTTCTTACCGGAGTCCTTCGTCATTACGCTTCCGTCCTCATGGCTACCGCGCCCAAGAAGCTCGATGCCAAGGGCATGCGGGAGCAGCGCGCCTTGGCTCACGGCGTCACGCTCCGGTCAAACTATCACGTCCTCTCGCAAAAAGCCTTTGAGCAACGGCGGGAGACTCTGTGCGCCGGGTACGAGTCGGGTGCATACCTCAAGGAGCCGGACCGCAAGGGTCAGCCGCCGGCCAACCCGCTCACGGACCCTGGCGCCATGGACGGCATGATGGGCATGATGAAGAACAACATGGCCATGATTATTCCGAATACGCTTATTATGAGTTGGATTAACGCCTTTTTTAGTGGCTACGTCATCAGTATGTTTGACTACTAAATAGGAAAACGGTGTTTTGTGGGAAAAGCTGACTCGGCTTAGTGAAATTGCCTTTCCCTATTACCATCAAGTTCAAGAGCATGTTGCAGGCTGGTGTGCAGACCAAGGACATGGATCCCCGGTGGATGTCAAGTATCAGCTGGTACTTTCTCTGCATCTTTGGCCTCCAATTCGTTTACGTATTTCTCCTTGGAAGCGACAATGGTGAGTGTCGGTCGTCGATTTGCTGTGGCATATACGTGCTAATATCTCCTAGCCGCTAGTCAAATGGCGCAACAAATGGCGGCGCAGCAAATGCCAATGAACCCTATGGGCGGCCCCGGACAGGACCCCGACAAGCAGTTCAAGACTGAGGCCGAGAATCTGGCGGTCATTGAGCACTACTCAGTATTGGACGACGTTGAGGAGCGTCTGCTTCAGGGTATCAAGTCGTAGATTCATGCTAGATGGACAAAACTTAATGTACAAGACCTCATACCGGCGGGTGCGCCTACTAGTGCCCTCCGTGAATCTATTATGCGCCATCCCACCACAGACACGCACCAAGACCTTCACGAGCCATGCTGCCCTTGATCCTGTAAGGCGTCTTGGCCGGGGTTTCTTCCCCTTGCGTTGGTCCAGCCGGCGTCTGGTCATGCCACTCCTCGTCAATGACCTGAAAACGAACCATTTCGTGATTATCGTAAAATAGCCTATCGTCTTCAAGGTTCCAGATCCAAAGCTGCTCACTATGATTACTGTCGGCCGGTCAGTAAAACCATCCTATGCCGCTCACTAGCCCCAAAGCATCATCAGCCGTCGCAGGACACACTTACTACTCCGCACCCTGTGGCAGCTCCTCAAAGGGAATGAAAATATCGTCAAAGAAATCCGTCCTCAAGTTAATGCCCGCAGGCGTAGAGCTCCGTATCCTGCCGAGCATGACTTCGCCCTTGAACGGACGAAACACCACCATGCGGAACTCAACTGGTTTTGGTTTCGTCAGCGGACCCTTGATAGACGCGATGAGTGGCAAGTTTTCCCATACCATTGACGTTGACTAGTCCCGTCCCATGACCTATCAAGCCTTCCGAGGACCAGAGGATATCATACAGACAGATACACAGTCCAATCTTCTGAATGACCTACAATAGCTGAGTTGGCATTTTCGCTTCCTGAGTCGAGGTGGGATTGTGAGCAAGAGTGTACCTTGTTGGCATATTTGGCATTAATGTTATCTTCAATGGCGACTATGCTGTGTTTTGAAAAGTCCTCTGGAGCAATTTGCACCAGGTCTGAGATTTTGGTCTTCATAAGACGGGTTAGTAGTGGTGTTGGGTGTCGCATCGAGGGACAATGGCTTACCAGGATGAACATTGTGACGGACTTGTGCTTCAGGCTCTAGCCGCGAACAGAAGCGGATTCTCAGCTATCTAGCATATGCAATAGAGAATGCCCCTGTCCACCGGCAGTCCGCACAGTCTGTTCAATACTATTGACAAGTCTGGTCGTGGTACAGAAACTCGTTTGCGCCCAGCCAATCAGGTCATGGATACGCCAAAATTGAGAGATTGTATTCTGCCATGCAACTCCCAGACCCCAGCCTCACCGCCTGCTGTGTGTGTATGGCATACACCAAGACTCGGGACCCACTATGCAGGCTTTACCGGCCCTAATAGCGAAACAGTTCTGAAAGTTCAGGCACGAGGCTTGACTTGTCCATCCTCTTGTCGATTCCATCTTGTCGCGGCGCTCAACCTCTGACCGCCTCGACATCTTGCCACCTGGTTACTCTTTACTCTTTTCTTCCACCCTCTCTTTCCAACTAGTCTACTTCTCAGTTTATACTTGCATTCTTGCTTTTTTGTCTAGTTCGGGTTCATCTTAGAGTCTTTGTGTCTTTGTTGGAGTCTTTAGATTTGCGGTTGCGTACCTCTTCTTCCAAGATTGGACCGTCTTCGCGCTCTTCATTACTCCAAGCGGTGGTTCGAATATCAACGACACAGATACCCTACTTGATCTCGTATCGGAACCCTTGCGATGCAATTGCTTGAACCCTCCGTTCAATACTGATATACGGACAAGTGTTCTGTCGGTAGCGCCGCAAGCTGCAGCTACTCCAACCGATCCAGTCGTCATGTCTGGTTACGGCTACGGTCCGCCTCCTCCGCCTCCTCCACCGTCAAGTTCCGGTTACTCGTCGCATCCGAGCGTTTCATATCCTCACAAAGGTCCAAATAGGGGAGGCGGGGGATTTCAAGGTTCTCGGGGTCGCGGCGGCCAGTATCCCCGTTCTCGAGACCATCATGGACCTTCTCAGGCTCCGTTCGAATATTCGCGTCAACCCTATCCACCACATCATCAGGCCTCCTACAGCGGCGCACATGCTCCTGTAGGCAGTTATCCGCCTCATCCGCCTTATCCGCCACAGTGGCCTGGTGAACATGCCGCTCATGCACCTCACGGCACACATCCCCATGCCCCTGCACCCTTGTCTGCTTCCAACTACCACCCAGGTTATGGCCCTCAAGCATATCCAACAACTTCCCAGCATGCGCAACCGCCACCATATGCCTCCACACAACCATATGGGCAGCCATATCAAGTCCACCCAGTTCAAAATCCTTCGCATTGGAGTCCACAGGGTCCTCCTCAGCCCTCACATTACTCTAATAGTCGCGGACGGGGAGGGTATGGCGATCGTGGAGGCCCAAAGCCGCCCGGGACGGAACATGTTCGTCATGGGTACCTGCATGATCCTTTACCACCGGCTGTAGTGCCATATGACCAGTCATACCCTCATAATCCCCGTGCTCCTCGTGTTCCTCTACCGCCGTTTCCATATCCCGGCAATCACTCAAGGAGAGGCCGAGGTGGTGGGCATAAAGATGGCTTGCGCGGCCGCAGTGGTCATCAATCCAATCACTACAATAAAAACCGCACTGGCAAGCAGCACAATGGTGACAATAATAAGCCTAAGACAGATACTCCCTCGGTTGGAAAGAAGAAGAAACGTAAGGTGAACACCCTCGGCCTAACTCCAGGAGTAGAATCAGAAACCGAAGATGATGAGGGTGAGGAGAAGATCCTCACAGATTTGATTGGTGCAGAAACCCTTCAGTAAGTCGAACTATCATCCTGCTGTTTTAAAATAAAAAACTTTCATCATGTACTGACAGTCGAACAGAATTAGTGACGTTGCTGCGTTCTTGGCTGAACGACGAAGGAATTATCCCACAAAAGCGCGTATGGAGGCAAAGAAAGCTGCCGAGGTGGCGCAAAAGGACCAAGCCAAGACGGCAGAACTTGAAAAGCAGGCGGACAAGCTGAGGAAGCAGCTTCGTAAGGTTGAGTTCTCCATCAAGCGAAAGCGAGAGCAAGGGGACGAAGGAGATGAGATGCGGGACCCATCTGATGACTCGGACGACGAGAAGCCAGAAGTTATGTCTTCTCGAGTACAGACCGCACCACCACTCCCTTCTGCCAAGAAGGCAGATATAAGCCGTCATTGCAAGTATTACTCCACTGGCGGTACATGCGGGAAGAAAGGCAAGTGCCGTTTCGTTCACGATCCTGAGGTTAGGGAAGCAGCGATCAAGGAGCGTGAGGCCAATAATGGCCGCATGACCATTCAGCAACGTTTGATTCTGAATGACAAGGACCAGGAGGACCTAGCCGTTCTTCAATCCATCAATTACCTGCGACAAAAGGGTATCATGACATCTACAACTAATGGAGCCGATGAGAAAGAGGGAACCCGGGAGGAAGAGACGGGGCTGGACAATGACAAGGACGGCACCCAGACCAACGTGGCGCCAGTGCCTGCGACGTCTCGGTCAAGTCTACTTCCTGCTGCTCCAGCCTCTCTGCCCCCTCCACCTGTCAAGAGAGAAACCACGCCACGTCAAAATAACCCTCAGCCTGCAACTCTCCCTAGTGCTGACAGTGCCAGCGATCCAGGGGTGAAGCACTATGAAGGTTGGCTTTTACAACCGTACGGTAGTTCGAATGGTGAGAAGTCCAAGACGGACGATCTACCTTGATGTAGATTATGTATTATTTGATAACCAAAGTGTGTTAATGGTATTTCTGTCATGTGTGTAGAGTTTTCTCGGTAGTTTTACGCGGATCCCCATTATAGCAACTGCATTATGGATGTACCCATGTAAATACATGCATAGCTCATGTATATATATCCCTATACAAGTCTGCGACTAAGGGGACGGGTCACTTAGCTGCCAACGGGTAGTAGACACTCCTAATTTGAACGCCCAACTTCAGTCAGTGGATGAAATTTCGTGCCGAAGGTGGAGTTTTGTTCTTCTGAAGCAGACACACGAGGATAGGAGTCATGACTTGTCAAATGTTGTCATTCTACTATCTTAATCCAACCGCTCTGATATCAGCCCTCATGAATGCTAGCTTAAAGTGATGATGGATAACAAACTGAGAAATTATACAAAACTCCGTCGCTAATGACTATGCCACCAAAGACGTCCCAAAGGCCTATCTGAAACGCCATCTTGTCCAACTTCCAACTTTCACACTTCCTAGTTGTGAATAAACAAAGAAAGCACTTTGATATCCTGCGGAAATATCACATTACTCCATCGTCCGAACCTACCGTCTCCTTGCGCGAAGTGCCTCGAGGGCTTTACGTTTCCGATCTTCCTTGGCTGCTTTGAGAGTCTTCTCTAGACGCTCTTCCTCTTGGTCCTCCCTGCGGCCGATGAACTCGGCGCGGCGTTCTTCCTTGTCGAGTTCATCCAGACCGGCTTCCATATCGGAGGAACCTTCCGAGTCGTAGTCGTACCGAGGACCCCCTTCGTCTTCCTCATCATCGTACTCGATGAAATCGTCTAGCTCCTCGTCGTAATCGTCTTCATACGAGTTCTTGGATGTGCTGTGTCGGGTGGCGTTGAGCAACGCTCCACCGCGAGGTACATCTTTCTTCCGGGCTGGATTTCCTGGCTTCGGTCTCGCCGTTCCTGTGTAACCTGTCGTGGCTTGGGCTGCCTTCTTGACCTTCTTGGCTGCCTCTTCCTCTGCTGCTGCAGCAGCAGCCGTTTTGCCACGAGCTGCAGGAACACGGGCACCGGCGCCCGGACGGGTGTCTATCGGACGACCTGGCGGCCGTTTGTGGCCGTTGACGCCATTGCGCTGACCAGGCTTTGATGTTCCGACGTATCCACCCACGTTTCGTCCCTTGGAGGATGTTGCAGGGGGTGGTTCGTCCCGAGCCTTCTTGATAGCGCCCTTCTCGACCTTCTTGTGTTGGATCTTGCCCACTTGCCCCATGGTAGCTTGAGCCCGTTGTCCACGGGCCAAAATCTCGGCAAATGATCCCTTCTTCGGCGGTGCTTTGGGTGCGGCGGCCGCAGGTGATGGCGCAGGTCGACTTGGAAGACCCGGTTTCGTGGACTTGGATGGCTTGGATGCCGAACCGGCCACTTTGCTGCCAGGCGTGTTTCCCGGCCTTGCACTTCCAGTATACGGCTGTTGAAGGTTCGACCTGTCACCAGACGACCTTGATGTCTGACCAACACCACCAGACGAGGTCATCACACGTGATGCCTTTGAGCCATCTCCACGCAGATCGTCATTAGGTTTGCGTTTACTCGGAATCGAGTCGGTCCTTTTGAGTCCTGGGCCGGACGCGGCAGTCGACTTGCCGCCGCTGATTTGGGCTAACAAGTCTCCGATCTATATTTTGAAATGTCAGCTGAGCTGTACCATGAGGAATATAGAACATCTTGGATGGGGTGGAGCCTACCGGCATTGTAGCTGCCTTACCGGAAGTTCCCCCAGGTGGACACGAGCCAGTAGATGATAACCTGGCCTCTGTCGTAAGAGACTTGAATGTGATGATATTATGTGTCCCTCTGCTCTCTTGCCTTCTCTCCCGCAGCAGGCAAGCGTTGGTATTTATGTAACGCGAGGCATGGAAGATGTGGCGGGAGCCAACAAGTCTAATCTCGTTAAGCCAGCTGTTGGGTGAATCAACCTTTCTTAGTAAACCAAACGAATGCGAGGGGTTGGCAAAGCTCAGGTTTCAAGAACGGCGACGCACTGCTGCAGTAGAGAAAGATTCAGAAAAGGGGAGGATGTCGGTGCAAGCTTCGATAAGCCACACTACAGGAAAGGAGAAGCAATCAAAAAGGAAGATGCGCTGGCAGAGAGCTGCAGCAGCACGCTCCATGACATTGCGCCTGGGGGCAAAAAAAAACGGCGAATAAAATACGCCACAATTCTCGGACGATAATCGGACACGTGATGCCTGACTCTTTGTGAGGAGATCGGGATGTCTGTGGCGGTTTGGAGCAAGATGGAAATGTGGCTGGTGAGAAGCATGGCCGGCATGGGTGTTGGCCAGTCAG